CATTTMCAGTAGAGGGAACTTCATGCYACAYTCCGTGAGAGAAGCYAAYACTTTGATAGACAACCTAGCCGAGAGTGATAGCATGATCCAACCAAGCTACGATGAAACCGTCAAAGCAATCAGCATCAATCCAACAGAATTTAAGGAGATCAAGATGATGGTTTCTCAAATTCTAAGGAATACGACGAGACCTAAAGTACATGAGGAAGCAACAGCTCCTCATGAGGACATTAATCAAGATTTTGTTGGAGATTTTTCACCATGTGATCTAAAGGAAGTGAGCTACATAGGCTCACAATACCAAAATCTTGGGATGAGGAATCACAGCCCCCATCACGGTCCTAGAGAGCGTTTTCATACTCATCAAAACGTGCCTCAAGAGACCCATATTCAACCHAAACAACAGCCTACTAATGGAGTTCAAAACACGDATTCGAGTAGTTTTCAAGGCGTCYAGTCAAGAGAAGTTTCGGAGGAAGACTTCGAGCRCTTGATCAATGGGTTTRGCTATGAACTAAACAAGTTTAGAAAGGAAATTCATACTAGAATGGATATATTGGGTCATGACATTAACAACAAGATAGAAGAAATTTCATCTCATGTTAAGCAAATTGATCTCCAAATTGCTTATATCGTCGGTACCGTTGGAAAACTGGATTGATTTCTTCCCGGAAAAGTTGAGGTGAACCCTAGGAGTGAGCCCGTGAAGGCCATAACATTGAGAAGTGGAACACAACTAGATGAGGTGCTAATGCCAAAAGAAACCGAAGATGACATTGTCATAGAAGTGTTAGAAGAAGATAAAGCACCTAACGAGGAAGTTGCCCATGAAACTCAAGAAGAAGTCGAGATTCCACCAGAGGTAACTCTTGTCTACCAACCTAAAATAGCATTCCCAAGTGCTTTGAAGAAGCCAAAGAAGGAGAAGGAGCAAGCCAAGCTAAAAGAACTAGTAAGTCAACTTACCGTACGGTTACCTTTTGTTGATGCTTGTATGATCATCCCGGCTTTGAGGAAGTATATGAAGAGCATTCTAACCAGCAATGTGAGCTTAGAAG